GCCCAAGTGCTGGGTCGGACGGATGGACAGACAGACGCATTCCCTCCAGCCGGCAAGATTCCCCCGAGGCCCTTCCCACAGCCCTCAGCCACCTCCTGGCCCTCTGTCCCCAGTACCTGCTAAGGCCTTGATCCGAGAGCACTCGAAGAGGGAGGCAGCTGCGTTGCCGGCCGCCGGGGGCTCTCGATCCCAGCCCCTGTCTGGGCTCTCCCAGCGGGCCGAGGGGTTGTTGTTGTTGGCAGCTGCTGGGCCCTCCATGTTGTCCACTTCCCCTGGACCTTGTGCCATTGGGGTGGGCGGGGCCTGGAATCCAGGAGAGAAAGGTTAGCGCAGGAAAATGACCTGAGCTCAAAGGACCCACTTCTCACAGTGAGGGCCCAGGCATTCCGTGCCCTGTCTCCGGCTGGGTTTTCTGTCTTTTGCATGAAAATAAATAAGTAAATAACAAAAATCAAAAAGAAAAATCCAGTTCTGGCGGGTGGAACAGGGGATCCCGCAGTTGGGAGATCAGGAGTCCCAGGCTAGCCTGGGTCACCTAGCTAAATTTTGTCTCAAAGGGTCAAACAACAGGGTCTCGGAAGACAGCCGAGTGGGCAATGTGCTTTACTCCGAAGCATAATGAATTCAGTCTCCAGAACCCACAGGAAAACCTTGCACACTTGTAACCCCAGGCAGATCCCTGGGGCTCCCTGGCCAGCCAGCCCTGCCTGATCTGTCAGCCGCAGGCCAAGCAAAGGACCTGTCTCAAAAACAATCTGTCCACCGCCTGAAGGAGCACGTGCCAAGGCTGATCTCCGGCCTTCCAAGGCATCTGTAGTTTGAGATCTCTGTGAGTTTGAGGCCAGCCTGAGCTGCAAAGCAAGTTTCAGACCAACCACGGTGAGGCCTAGTCTCAGTTACTATCATCATTGTCATCATCACCATCATCATCACCATCATCTGGGACTGCCAGTAAAATGCCTGCAGCACAAACAGGAGGCCTTGAGTTTAGAACTCCACGCAAAAGCAGACATAGTGGTATCCACCTGTCATCCTAGCTAGTGACGAATGGCGCAGAGATGCATGCATCATGGGGCTCACTGACCGGCCAGTCTAGCCAGCGCAGTGAGAGACCCTGTCCTTAAAAACAAATGAGGTGAGCTGGGTGTGGAGGCAGAGGCCGGCGGATGTCTGAGTTCCAGGCCAGCCTGAGCTACAAAGTGAGTTTCAGGCCAGCCAGGGCTACACACACAGAAACGCTGTCTCTAAAAAACAACATAGATAGATAGATAGATAGATAGATAGATAGATAGATAGATAGATA